TTCTTTCTTTTATTGTATTCCCTTAAAAGTATAATCTTTTCCTCCTCTGACCAATTTGGCTTTCTTGTCTTCTTTTCTCCCATTTTTAATTTTTTTTTTTTACTTTGTGAGTAACTTTGTGAGGCGATAACGGGTATCACAAGCAGGCGCGAGTGCAAGCATATGAACTGTATCCATGGAAACGGGACAATTTTACTGCTGTAAAGCGTCTTTCAATGTCGTAAATCCCTTAATGTTTTTCCTTAACTAAGGAAACCTTTTAAGGGGTTCTGTGCAACACCCTTAAATAAATCCATTAGCTAAGGAGAAATTAAACCTTAAGTGTCATACTTGAGGGGAAAACTTAAGGTATTTTGTGCAACCAGCCCCTGGACTTTATCCAACTGCATAACCATAGAAAATATAAATCAAACTCCTTCGGTTGTGAGCCAAATAAAAATTAATTTCAGCTACAAAACCATCAGTGCTGGGCTGCATATATGAGAAGGGATATACAGTTTACAGCTGTTCACTAAGCACCAAGTTCTGCACTTTGGCATTATGATGAGACGTCGGGGTGTCCCAGTTCCACTCAGAAAAGCAATAACCAGACTTTGGGAAGGCTTAGTGACAAGGGGATGGACATGTTATATAACAAGATGTAAAAGTGAGGGGCTTCCATTGTGGAGCCAGCTATCTAGGGCAATGCTGTTTGGTCAAAGGATGGAAGTATGTGCACCATGGAACACTTTTAGGACAAATGGCATTTCTGTGAACCCCTGAATGACAGAATATCCCCCAGGCAGCTCAAGCCTGCGCCGGGGGTCAGAAACGGCAGAGCTGAGCATGCAATTTTGGTACCAATAACCGTGGGCATCTGTGACCGGCCCAGGAGCAGGGGACTGAGAGATGCTGACTCAGCTGCATGTGAATGTCCCAGAGCTGATGTCACAACAAAATACCAACTATGGAAGGAAAATAATGTAATGAAGACGACTAGAAAGGAAATATATATATATGAAATGCAAAATGAAAATGTATTTGTTGTAAAAAAATTAACTGCGTTCAAGTGTTTGAGCGGCACATTTGGATACATTTAAGACAAACTCGATTATCAACAAATCATGTGACTAATCCAATGTTCAGCTGACATACACCGTATTTGGTATCGATAAGGGCTTTTGAGAACTGAACTGCTGGTTTTCTTCGCGAAGAAGAACCGCGAATGTTGCGCCAAGTTCGTTCAAACTGCAATTTAAATAAATCAAGAAACTGCCTTCCAAACGAAACACAAGTTTCTATGCTGACAAATCGAGAAAATGAAAAGAGAAAAGAGCAGATGGTGCCTCAAGAACGTGGTAAAACACAGCATGATTTTATCTGAACGCAAATGCAAAAGTCTGCTTTCAAAGGCCGGAACCGAAAATAAGGCAAATGAGCTCAACCAGCCTGGATAAGGAGAGCCATGCAGGACAAACACGTGCGTGTGACGTTAAATGCCCGTTTGGACAGTGGAATGACTCACCAGCTTTTTTGGAAAAGGAAGATTTTAATGTTAACGGCAATAATCGTTTCTTGAGTATT